CATATATATATATGTATATGTATATGTATATATATACATATGCATACATATATATATATACATATACATATACATATATATGTATATATATGTACAGACACACACACACACAGATATATATATATATATATATATATAACTTCAGAAATGTACAAGCTGAGATTGCAATTTCCATGATGTAATGCAATATCTGCTAATCTTGTATGGTTCTGTTTGACTGGAACAAATTGCCCACATTTAAACCAAAGAATAATGTCCAGTGACTATAGAGGACTAAATATATCTGCTGGCTGAGGTTGTAATAGTAATTCAAAGTGGCTACGAAGCTACAAAGGCACTTCAGCATAAACATATCAAGATTCCCAGTGCTAAAATATTTCAAGAGTCTATAGATAACGTCTCAGTCTACTTATCAAACTTGTGTAGATTATACTTATAGGACTAAGGATAATGTGCTGATAAAAGTAAAATTAATTGGTAATATTACAAGCTCCAGTGGTCTGTGTGTGCAGATGGGCAGTACTTGGTTCCCACAAGAAGTGTATTTATACATGAACTGTGCTTCATTTGATATATATGTCTACATGAGGAAAGATTTGAACATTAGAACAGGAATGATACAAGATAAAATCACAAAGTATCAATGCCAAATGACATGAAAAGGGAAATCTCCTGCTGAATTTCCTAAGGTATCATAACTTCTCATGACTTGTATATATTTCTATATAGCTTCAAGAAACACAATATTGACTACTGACAACTGACAACTGATATATAACACATTTACACCATTTTTTTGCTAAATACCCCATCATATAGGAGATAAAGAGTTTAAATAGACTTGTAGAATATGAAACCATTTAGATTTGATGGAAAACTATGTAGGTCAAAAGAATGACATGCAATAATGGATAAAGAAAATCAAGGATCGCATTAGTCTAGAAATTTCAAGAGAGTTGGTAATACCATCTCGCAGCCATAATACTGCACTATATTTGGATGCCGCAATCGACTCAAAAGAAATATTTCCTGCCGAAAAAAGACAACATTTGAAAAAATAATAATAATAATAAATCAACATATCATACAGTGCTCATCATGCAGTACCCTTGGTAGGGTAATGATACTCACTTGTCCCAAGTGTTTCACACTTTCTTTTGACTTTGCGTCATCCATGAACAGGGTTACCTCCTTCATTGCACACATTTCACCACTCTCACTGCCACAAATGAAACAAAGATAGCTAGCAAAAACAAAGCCTAAACAAGTTTGAGTACAGAGAATGACAATCACAAAGAAAAGATCAAGATAGTAAATAAAAATAAATACGACCAATATCAAATAAAGAGGCTCGGATCTACATAATAGAACATTAATTTTCCAGATCAATCAACTCATTCCCAGATGTCTATCTGATCCACATACTTCAGCTTTTCATTTAAGGTCACATCCTTCATTGGACTGGCAGTTGGTAATTATATATGGTCACCACCCAAATATCAAGACCAATGATTTACTAATTTCATGGTTCTCTCAAACAGTCTGTCTCCCTAGTATCTGCCTTAACATGGTAAATCACTGGACAAATCAACTAATAACATAAATATACCTCTGATTCAAAACAAGACCAGTCATAATATGCTCAGATAGCTTTGAAACAACTGATTCACATACAGGAGATAGCCAGTTAAGAAGAATGATATGTCATGGAAGGACACAAAAAAGTGTTTTCTCACGAGGCACATGGGGCATCACCGTCAACATACAGAGACAGGTGATATCCTTCCACTCTCAGCTTATCAACACAGATGTGCAACACAAGAATCATCATCCTTGGATTTCTTTTTCCACACAATTGTCCCACCAACTATGTTCATGCTAATCTCGACATTCCAGTAATCCTTAAACTTTAGATGTTAACATTGACCTTGGCAGTAAAGAACAATTGTCACCTTCAATTCATTGCCCTTTATAGTTCCCATTCTAGATATAAACAAACTGCACATTATTACAATTCGTGGTCTTTTGTTAACACAAAAAAAATATTCTTTGGCAATGAATTTGTCAAGTCCAGACCTTGCCAACCTTATCCAGTTCAATGATACAGACAATTAGATAATCATTTATCCACAATATTCCTAGAACAGTAACACAACTTTATAATAGTAAGAGATGTACCTATTAAAACCAACATAAACATGTCCAAATGTGCCACGACCAATTAATTTTCCTTTCTTCCACCGTGATCCAGGGCTTGTTGGATTATCTGTCCTTCCAGGGCTACGAGATATGGGAGAAGTAGCTGTTGTTGAATTGTTTGGAAGAAAGGGAGAGCTGCGAGAAACATTTATTGGTGGTAGAGGCAATCTATGACTTGTAGGTGATTCTGGTGCTGTGCCTCCTGCCCGTGGATGCAATGGAGAGACAGTTCCACTATGTATCCTAGAACTAGGACCAGGACTTGTCATTCTTGGGCTAGGTATAGGAGAACATTCTGGGCTGCCCCTACTATGCTGCCAAAACTGTCCCAGCATATCTCCACCCATTGAATTATGTCCAGAAGTCTGTCCTGAACCTGGACTGGAGCACTGGCCAGATCCAACAAAAGTTACATCTGTATGAGGCTTTGTTGCCCAAAAAGCTGAAGTCGGCACCTGCTCAGGGCATAAAACTCTCATTGGACTTCTAGAAGGACTTGACATAGAACTATCTGGGGCACTTCCCAAAGCACCATTCCGAGGAATTTGTATATTAGATCGGTAACTATTTGGAACACCCCATTTTGGTGATGCAGACGTAATTTGGTTTCCCAAAAACAAAGTCGTCGGCTTTGACATCTCCTTTGGGCTCCTCTGGGTAGCAGAGATACGATCCTTATGCACCGCACTTCAAACAGAAAAGAAAAACATGAGGTAGGTTAACCTCTAAAATTGACATGTCAATAAGGTAAGATGGAAAAATCAGCATCCAGATAGCATTCATTAGATTGTAAGGTACACACCTGTAATGATGATCTATAACAGTTCTGTTATTATTCTCAAAATCATTGCCCACAGGGCTGTGAAGTTGAGAATCGCCTGGGTCATCACTATCAATAGAGCAATTGCTGGAAACAGATGCAGTAGCCAAATCACCATCAAGATTAGCAGCATCTGGTCCTTTCATAATGCGATGAGGCTTTGGAAGGGGTAAATGCAGCTGTGGTTTGCCACGCTTTTCCAAAATTGGCTTTGATATACTGACTTCAGAGGGTGTGCGTGTAATGCATGAAGGCATCTCAGGAAGAGGAAGTGGCTGGGCATTTGGTCTACCTGCAAAACTTTGACAGCGAGACACATGCTTGGAGGGTGACGTAGATCGTGATTCTGCTCTTGATGTGTAGCCCTTTTCTGTAGTTATGTCACTGCTACGTCTCTGAATCCTCCTTGATTTTGAACTGCCTTTCTGTTCAGTTGAACTTATGAATCGATGCAATGTGTCAATGAAATTTTCCTTCACTGTTTTCTTCTTTGCATCCTTAGATGAAGATTTTCCCCACATTGTAGGCATTTCGAATGATATCACTAAATTATTCCAGGTTTACCAACTACTAGCAGTCATAACAGATAACTTTAAAAGTCACCAAAAGAAACTTGGCTTGCTTCAAGTAAAAGCCTTAATCCTAAATGGTAGCATTCAGCAACAAAGGACTTCTCAATGAAGCAGCCTGCCAAAAGGAGGACCTTTACTGATTAGTAGTTCCTTTAAATTTAGTAGGAATGCATGATGGTAAAAGGGGAAAAAGCTCTGCAGCCTTTAGTTTCTAAAGGTGGCCAGAATGAGCTTCAAAGATTATCATCACCTATGATTTCTGGCATTACAATCTTTAGTACAGCAATGCTGTATAACTATGCATAATCAAAATCCAAGTTGAGCATGACATTTGAAATGCTTCTGTCATTGTTGATTTTGTCTTTGTCCAAAGACAAGTACAACTTCCTTCAAGTGCAGCAATGATAGAATCACATGAATTGGCTCCTAACATGTTTCCTGCTAACAATTTACCAAAGGCATATAACGAAACAAAAAATCTCGGTAGACAAGCAAAGTAATAGATTATTTATGATGCTCATATTTGAATATGGTCAGAATCAAGTAAAAGATATTGCTCGAGAATCCTTAGGAAAAATAAGACCCAACATCCATAGTATTATTCACGCTGATCCAACACTCCTTGTGTTGATGGCCGCAATAGTCCAAGAACAATGTTCCATCCCAACATAAGACCCACAAAGCCTTTCTTTTAACTTACTCAATGTTGACAGAAACCACAAAAACAATTTGAATAACTTTTATGGACCTATATTCACTTTCATTGAAACAGGTAACTATAAAAGAATATGTTTTCTCCAACTAAAGGCAACCTCAATCTAAGCAAGTGTCAAAATCGAAAGAAATATCCAATGACAACATCAAAGAACTGAATGCAACATTATCAACCCAAAAAATAAGCAACAACGACGTCAAGAACTCCACCATAATCTACAATTTAGGCGACTTCACACACAAACCAAAAGACACTAAGATAAGCCCTTATGTGACGATGGTTGAACACATGGTCGCATTTCAACCTAAGGCTACAATTATTTTCACTTGAATCAACATCTTATAAAGCAGATGCGGTCAAATCTTGATCAGTCTTCCCCTTCCGCTACATTTCGTAATCAGTAAGCCATACGGATTCAATTTAAAAATACCACTACATTTTAAGCAGTCTCAATAAAAAAAAGAAATCGCACCACCTCACATAGTCATAGATCCGAAAGCTAAGAGAAACCGGCCAAATCAAGAAAATAACTTGAAATAACACAAAATCCCTTAAATGTTCAGAAAGGAAAAGGATTACCCTCACTCGGGTGAACGAACGAACCACTCCCAGACGGCACTCACAGGAAGCCAAACTCAACGAGATTCACCAGCGAATCGGCGACAAAAACCCTCGCGAATCCCTTCAATTCGGACTCAACTAGAAAACTTCTTGACGCCAACACCTGCCGGTAGCGACTGGCCTTCTTCTCCCGCAATCCTTGCTGCGGATTGGCCGCTGGCGTCGCCCCCCGATCTCCCTCTCTCTAAGGTCGAGCACGCCCTGGAGGAAAGCGAAGATGGCGTGGAAAATGAAAACCCTAGAAAAGGAGCTGAGGTCGCACGGATCGAGAGGATGAGGACGGTTCGAAGAAGACCACAAAGACGCAGAAGGAGATTGAGATAGGAATCGAGAACGAAAAGCAAAGAGAAAAAGAGAAGGGTTTGTACTCTCTTTCTCTCTCTCTCTCTCTCTCTCTCTCTCTCTCTCTCAGGAACAAAGTGCTAAGAATAATGATGCTTTTCGTACTCGATTAAACAACGTAATCAGTCACCTTCACTATTATTCGATAGAGCATATGGGTCCCACACCGTGATGTGTTCCAACCAATTAAGAAATAGGTACATGACAGGTACCAAAGAAACCGTGTGAGAAAAGCTCCGCTCGTTCTAAGAAATGAAATGGCGGAAGGGAGTATAATACGACGTAAGCGACGAAGAAATCCCTCTTCGTGGACTCGAAAAATTGACCCATCGTTTCGTGGCGTCAAAATACTACGAAATCCATAGGGGGCCCCACAAGAAGTCCTGGGCAGTGAAAGGGAGAAGTAGGAAGCGCGAGTGAAGACGCCGATGCTCGCAAGGGTTTCGATTAGGGTGGCTTCGATAAGACAGCATTAGTTTTATGTGAGTGGCTTTTTTTTCCTTTTTTTTCTGCGGAAAATAAATTAGTTTATTTCCCAATAAAAGTCTCCCTTTTTCTTATATTTTCTGTGGAAAATAATTAGTTTATGTGAGAGTAATTGATTTGACTCGTGATGTTATGGAAAGGCTTATGGAAATTGGTCTATCTCATATGGATCTCGAATGGATGATTGATCAATCAATGGTAACTCTATTAATAATAATTTTAAACAAAGAAAAAATAATATTAATTCGAGAAACTCTTTGAAATTATTTTTCCATGAACTAATATTTGTTTTATTAGCTATAAAAGAGTTGGTAATATTATAAAATGTTCATTTAGAGTGGGCTCAAACTATTTTAGATTTATTAATTTAATGAACTAATACTTGTTGATACAAGTATAGTTATACTCTTATCGTAATATTTAATGAACTATGTTGATTTCAAGATGCAAGACTATGCAACACAAAAAATTATAATTCAAGTATTTTATGTATGGATTAACGACAATGTCATGTTGCCACACTGATATGAATTGGAATATACCTCAATCCAACAAATGTGAAATCATCCTCAATAGTCTTGCTTGTCTATAAAGGAATCTCTCATAGTTTGTTTATTCCTTCATGTGATGTGTTCTAAGGTGCCAATGTTAGCGGAGTAGCAAAAGTCAACGCTCCAAATACATATCCAATTAAATAATATGATAGTGATGGAAGGCAAGATGAAGCTTTGGGATGTAGAATATTTCTACCAACTCTACCACTTGACCTAAGTCACAAGCTAAAGGTAGAAACTAGCTGGAGTCTTGGCATCTTGATGCAGATTTGTCTATGGGAGTTGGCCTACTAGCGTATGGGTCAATGTCAAGGTCAACCACTTTGGAAAATTGAGAATTGAACTACTTCATTTTAAGTCAATGTCAATCGCTTTAGAAATTTGAATATATTAAGACGACTAATAATTATTGGATAGGAGACGAAGATGACGTAACATTTATGTTATCGTCACGACATATATCGATGTAATATATACTATTCTTTTTTTAATAAATTATATTTTTATTACATAGATGCAAGGAAAATCCTATCGGTTACGATCAGAGAATATTCTTATTTATTATTATAAAGTATTTATAATATAATATTTTTTTATTTTTAATATATATATATATATATATATATATATATATATATATATATATATATATATATATATCAATAAAACCACACATAA